TGCCCCTGCCTGCTGACTGCTTCCTGGCGGGCTCGGCACGAGGCGCTTGCGAACACGCCCGAGTCCATCACTAGTGTTGAAGAGATTTTCCGGGAGAGAGTTTAATAAAGTTCACATTATACTATTAAGTGATTTCCAGCCTCTAGATGATTCCAGTAATTATCTTGCTGTTCTCCTGGGTAAGGGCTGTGGGCAGAGAGATGCATCAACACTTTCACCGACATCCACTTGGAGTCCCAGCCCTTGCATCCCTTCCCCTGCTGTAGGCTAGGTGAGATGGGTAACTGAGGCCCTGTTGTCACTTCCTGCCTACAGTGGCCTGCTGTAATTCAGCAGGGAGTAGGAGGGCAGGATGCACCCTGGAGGGAGGGACCACCCTCTTCCTCCAGGACGATAACGCTGTTTTGCTGAGGGGATGAAGATGCATCATCATCATCATCATGCTGCCAACACAGACGTGTAGCCCTGCAGTGGCAGCGCTGAGGAAACTGATAATGATGTTGGTGATTCAAAAGGCCGAATACAGTGTTGTCTACCTGGAACAGGCAGCACAGTGGAGTAGCGGTTAGCTCTTCTGCCTGGAATCCCGGTCAGGACACTATCTACAAGGAGTTTGCATGTTCTCCCTGTGCTTGTGCAGGTTTCCTCCCACACTCCAAAGACATGCTGGAAGGTTAATTGGCTCCTGTCTAAATTGGCCCTGTATGTATGTGAGATGGGGACCTCAGATTGTAAGCTCCTTAAAGGCGGGTACTGATGTGAATGTCCAACTATGTAAGGCTCTGTTCACACCTAGGCGTATCGAATATGTGCGTTTGTCGCGTGTTTCGTGACGCGCGTTTTACCGCAATTCGTGGTTAAAAAAAACGCGCAACAAGAGGGCTACTTGGCTGTATCCCAATGGAAACGCAAGACAAAAACGCCGCAAAGAAGCTCCTGTACCTTTTCAGGCGTAGGCCGTTTTGTATCGCGTTCAGATGGGCTGAAATACGGCAAGGTGTGAACCATACCCATAGAAAACAATGGGATTTTCATGTTTGAGCGTTTTGTAGAGCGTTGAACGCGCTACAAAACGTACAGGTGTGAACCAGGCCTTAGGCACTGTGTAAATTGTCGACACTATATAAATACCTGTAATAAGTAAACAAAGACAGGAATCAATCTGGACAAATTAAAACTGGCAGGATCAACAGGCATGTTTGACGTTATAGCAGGGGCAAAAACAGAAATCACTTTAGTCCTTAAAGCTAAACTGCTTTCTTATGAATAGCTTTTCATTTTTTCTATAAGTCAGGATGTACACCAGGGGTGGGCAACTCCGGCCCTCCAGCTGTGCTTTACCTACAAATCCCAACATGCCTCTGGGAGTCATGCCTCTGGCTGTCAGTCTTGCAATGCCTCATGGGACTTGTAGTTCCACAACTGCTGGAGGGCCGGAGTTGCCCACCCTTGCTATAAACTATAACCCTACGTGATCTCCATGTCTGAGAGAATGGATCATTGGGGAAGCGTGGGAAATGTGAATAACCGTGTGGCAGAGGGTGACCGTTCAAGACAATCTGTCGCTTTGCCCTGATTCCCTTTTAGAATGTTTATATAGAGAATCTCGGTGCCAAAGGGGTCAAGGAATTCTGAATGTAGAACCGTGGCTGACAATACGGCTTCTTCTCGGATATGTTAGACATTTGCACTTGCAGGGAATAACAAACTCTTCCGTGTGAGAGTCTTGACAGTTTCCGGTTGTTTTGTGTATTTCCAGATTCGACATAAACTTCAGACCAAGCAGCAGGCAATGGAGAAATCGGAGAAAGCCAAACAGCTGCGAGCCCTGCGGAAGTACGGGAAAAAGGTCGGTGACCGGAAATCGACTTTTATATACTCGTCTTTTGTGATTCTAACCTTTGCTGAGTGTTGGAAACGAATGGGTTTCTTCCTCTGATACACAGGTACAAGTTGAAGTGATGCAGAAGAGACAGAAGGAGAAATCTAATATGATGAACCAGATTAAAAAATACCAGAAAGGTAAGAAGTGCCGACCTAAAAGAGAGGAGAGGGAATAGGGGTACACCCTCCGTCACCCAGAAAGGGATCATTGCCAATGTACAAAGAAGTAATAACGTTAGATTCGCCTGAGCATTCCACACGGAGCATGTAATGAAACAAAGGCGACCATCCTCCCCTCGCCCCCTTTGGTTTCCCATTGGTTAGTGAGGTCACCAATCGTAGTGAAGGTCTAAAAGGGACAGACGTGGCCAAGCTTAAAGCTGAAGTTTGAATCTGCTTATATTTTGCCTTCATTGGCTCCTCCCCTCTCATTAACATAATAATGACCTTTTTGTAAATCTTTTTTCATGGTATATTCCTTATTTTAGAATCCAGTGATATCACGGGGTCTCTATGCAATGCAGGGGGATCATCCTCAGCCTGAACAATGAGGAGCTCATTGTTACTATAGGGCTGTACTCCATAGCTGCTAATCTATGGAGAGCTAACACGGGTGCACCCCATGCCGGGGTTCTATCAAAGTTTGCGACTGGTGACGCGGTCACACATTTTAACGTAACCCCACCCAGTTTTACAGCGGTGGACTGTGTGACCGCCCATTAGGTCAAGGATTCGGACGCTTATTCACATGTTCCAGGGCAGATCGGCTCACTGCGCATGTGCAGGAGAATCCATCTGCATGACCTAATCTGCCCGGATCAGCTGATCGGACCTCAAACGTCACTTCTATCCAACTTTGTGATTGCGGCGGAATGTGAGATCGCACTCAGTCGGATAGAAGTGACATTTGAGATCGATCAGCTGTTCCGGGCAGATTAGGTAATGCAGATCGATTCTCCTGCACATGCGCAGTGAGCCGATCTGCCCCGGAACACCTGACAAAGCGTTGGATGGGCGGTCAAACTGGGAGGGATTAAGTTAAAATGTGTGACCATTTCACCGGTCACAAATTCCAACGTAGTCACAAACTTTGATAGCACACCAGACAAAGTTTTGGGACTGAGCCTGTGTACACCAGAGGATGAAGAGGAAGGGGTGTCGGGTTAGATCCGTAGGTTTTGAAAGGTTTGCTGGGAATTCTTAATTTTAACATTCTTGTTTCTTTTTATTGTGTTTATAATGAGATATATCCGGTGTGTGCTTCTTTAGGCTTCACTGACAAACTGGATTTTCTGGAAGGCGATCAACCTCAAAAGAAAACTTCTGGCCCACCAGGAAAGGGTAAAAAAGGGTAAGAGCACACGCAGAGAATATTTGCTGGTCGATATGATGGGATATAGTTGTCATGGTAACAATAATAATGCGGCTCAAATCGCAAAGAGGTTTCTAAAAGCTTACAGTATCATTAGGATGTAGGGGTCGGAGGAAGGAACCACGGGGCACAGCGAGGTACACAGGCATCTGACACTCCTGGAATATATACTGAGCTTAGGGTGACGGGAGGACGCTAGTTTGTGTCCTCCCATTACCCTAGGGAGAACTATGGGGAAAAGCCCTGACCCCATAGTTCTCCTTTTTAAATGCTGAAGAGACTGATGGAGGCTGCAACACTGGAGCAATTTTTTTTTTTTTTGCTTTTAATACGTCCTAGAGCTTTGTGCCGGGGAACCGTGATGTTGTTGAAGGCAATACAAATATCTTCTTGGACACAGGAAGTGGACAATCTGCCTGGGGAAAATCTGTCCAGATAACACACTAGTCCCAGGGATGGGCAACTCTGGCCCTCCAGCTGTTATGGAACTACAAGTCCCATGAGGCATTGCAAGACTGACAGTTACAGGCATCACTCCCAGATGCAGAGACAATATGGGATGTGTAGTTAAAGCACAGCTGGAGGGCCGGAGTGGCCCACCCCTGGTCACACTAGTGTGTCATCTGGACAGATTTTACCCAATCATCCTTCAGGACGGGACATACGGTAGAAGTGTGGCTCTGCCCACTGAAAACAGGAAACGCAAGGTATACAGTATATAGGTAGACAGACAATAAAAGAACCAGCTCAGACTTGGTGCCTCTGTTTATTTTGTGTTTCCTCAGGCCGAGCAGGAACCACATTGGAATATCAGTGCTGCAAGGCCTTTGCGCTAGTACCGGGGGTATCCCATGCTATCCAACTCCGATTCTACCCCAGGGACAGTGGACCTAGCTGGTTTGGATAGGTGGGGTTGGGGAGTGGAGACTTATTTTGGATGATTTATGATACTAACCTGCACTCCCGTCCTCCCTCCTTAGGAGTGTTTTACTGCCCTGAGGTTTCTTATGCAGCTTCAGGAGGGGCAATCGTCCCCGCAGGATTAGTTGTACCTCCTTGAAAGAGTAGCTGACCTGTTGCTTGGCCCTGACTTCACACAGTCCAGGTGAAGTGACAACTCGCAGTTCTGCTGTGCTGGAAGTGAGCCTCAGCTCTGCGGAGCATTCACTAGGCCCATGTGGTATCTGATGATGACTCTGTGCTCAGATATATGAAGATCGAGTTGTTACGGTTGGGTGCATTGCCGACACTCTTTGAGAAGCCGTTTGCAGATTGTGCTGGTGATCATGTGATGTCATTTGGCACTGACGCTGTTTTTATAACCTTTTTTAAGACCGAATGCCAAGAGAAAGTACAAAGACCAGAAATTTGGCTTTGGCGGGAGGAAGAAAGGCTCAAAGATGAATACAAAGGAGAGTTCTAATGACGTGTCAGGCTTCAAAACGCGTGTCGCCCACGGGAAGGGTCCTCACAGGCCTGGGAAGAAGGGTGGGAAGAACGCCAACGTGAGTAGAATGGGCACCGGAAACGGGTAAGGGTCCTGTGTGTTACCCAAAACTAACTTACATCTCTCTCTTCAGAAGCGACCGGGTAAGACGGTGAGACAGAAGATGAAGAGTAAAGGGAGATAAGACGTGAATACCGTTCTATTTATCAGCTGGCACATGGCCACCATTGTCCTCCGCCAACCGCTGGCTGGAACAAGACCCTGAATATCACCCCTCCGGGTATCGGGCATCACGCTGGGGACTCATTTACTCTATTGTCACTATTCTCAGTGATGACAAAGGACATAAATGGCTGCAGTACATCTCCTCGGGAGACTCTCTGACAGTCTCAGTTTGTTTTTATATACAGAGTTCTGTCCATGGTTCTATTAAACACAAGTATAATGGATATGTACTAAAGAGTGTTCCTTTAGAGAACAGATGAAAGTAGTCACTCGCACTCCATGATATTAAAGTCAATGCTGTTTATTGACTGAGATAACACAAATCTCCTTAGCAACGTTTCGAGACCTGAGGACGGGACCGCATAGTCTCGAAACGTCGCTAAGGAGATGTGTGTTATCTCAGTCAATAAACAGCATTGACTTTAATATCGTGGAGTGCGAGTAACTACTTTCATCTATCTACATTTCACGGAGGCATCCGTTGTCACCACCGCACCCACCCAGTTGGATTTGGGTTTTTGTCCGGTCAGGAGTGCGATGGGACAGGAGGATTAACCTTAAGAGAACAGGGCGGGATACTCGGTGACTCCTCTGATATGAATGTTCTGGTTACAACGTCAGCGAGTTCTCTTTACAGATGTGCCCTGGTGAAGTTACACTTCTAGCTTTGAAGCTGAACTCCTAAAATATGAAAAAACTACCCTTCTAGTGGAGCTTCCTCTGCCTGCAAGGGTTAAATTCCTGTTTTTGCCTAAAATACCAGTAAAAGACTTTTCGTTACCTTTCCCCTCGCTCCCCCTGGCAACCTTCTCTTAACACTCTGGGCTGGGGAAGGCCTTTGGTGTCCTCGCTTGCAATGCAGCACTGATGGACCTGCGTTGTATGTGGTGACATCACAGCTGCAATTGCCGGTTGCATGGAAGGAGGAGCCTGCAGGAGCTGAGGGATAAGGTAAGTAAATGTGCCTTGTACTGGTACCCTAGGCAAAAATGAGCATTTAGCCTTTCTAGATGCCCCACTGCTGGGTAGATTTACTATATTACCAGAATTCAACTTTATACATTTTGTGTAGTTTGAATTGTCTCGGGTCCTTCCATCTCCTTCTCTGGAGGGGGTGGGTGGTCCTTTCTGCTGCACGAATGGTACTATCTGGCTTAGAGGAAGCGGGTTGGATGATGCTGGCAGCCACAGAAAACTGGAGGCATTCGTGATGAAAAAAATAGCTAATTTTGGGGGCAATTAAGACCCTCTTCACACGTTAGTGTTGCGATGCCGTTCTGTACATAAGCCGTAGTGTGTGTTGTGTCAAAGCAGCCCACACCACACGGCAACAAAAACTGGACCTGAAGGAAAAGAACACAAATCAGATCTGCCAGTATCTTAGGCCCCATTCACACTGAGCGACACTTTCCGCGCCGTCGGGATAGCGTGACCTTCATCGACGGGGCTGCATGCAACAATAGAAAAATCGCGTGACACCCGCAGAAAAAGGGTCCTGCACAAGCGACGCGTGGCATGGAGCTGTAGAATACAACGGCTCCATTGAAAATCATTGGTCGAGTGACTTCTCACAAAATTGCGCGGCAAATATGCGTGATATCGCGGCAGAAATCGCGCGATTAAACGCTCAGTGTGAATGGGCGCTTAGTCTGTGTGCGTGCCATTTGGACTGAATGGCAATGCACCGTAGAGGGGCACGTGTTGCAGTAATGGGCAGGGCGTGGGTGTAGAATTGGCCGGAGGCTTGATGTGTGCTGCGGGCTTGCTGCAATTGTCGAAAAGCTTACAGGAAATGTCCAACATTTTGTCCTCTGTGGGAACTCGTATTTGAAATACGACAGAAGCGTCCCCTCTCATGCAAGGCTGTTTCCACACGTATGTGACCTTATGTGTGTTTTTTTCTGGAGGTGGGGGTGGTACTGGGGGGTTATTGCTATGGACAGGTGCAGGGCTGGATTTCCCACAAGGCCCGGCCTAGGGGTAGCAGGGGTGTAGAATTCCTATCTCCCGATGCCGGGGACATTAAGGGGGCGCATTGAGGAACCTGGCCTTGGGGCAGCAGAGAGAGTAAATCCAGCCTGGGCAGGTGCCTTGTTCTGCACTGAGCTTCCCATCACTGCACCTATAACAAGCGTAGATGGATCAAGCAACGGACACCATTGCACGCCATAGATGTGAATTAGCGCTCTTTATAACAACGGCAAACCTCTTCACGTGTGTTTAGTGTATGTTAAATCGTGTGACTAGGTCGTAGGGGGTGTGCAATAACCGCTCTGACTAACTTGAAAGCCAGTACCTGCATGCTGCCTGAACCTGGGTTTAGGTATGTGACACCCGAGTGGAATACTGGTCTCCAAAAATACTCCTTCGAGGTCTGGAGTCCCCAGCAACAGTCTGTTCCTAAACTAAACAACGGACCTGAAATGATATATAAAGTTAGAATCAAATGATATAAAAAATAATTTATAGGTTATTTGATTGGAATTTGTTGATTTTTGGGGCCCACTTTAATCCATTATCCAGATGTAGTGTTTTTGGGAAGAGGTGTTATGGGGAGCCGTGTGGTAAAGAAGCAAATAGAAATGATCCGGCCTGCCGTGGCACTGTAATGATCAATCAGCAGAATTCTAATGACAGGTTCTCTTTAATATCCGTAAGAGATGACGTTTCACCTCATGAGATAAAAGTCGCAGTGTTTGAGAATCCAGTTTTATTGGGGGAGGTGTGTAAAATTTCTGCATCATATTAATCTTAAAATTCCTAATAACGGTCACAAGTCTGAGCTCCCCGTCCCATCCTCTTGTACCCGCTGCATGCTGGGAATTATCAGGCCACTTGTCACTACTGCAAATGTCAACATGATGGATCTTCACTACACCTCCACCCCTTCCAACCCACCCACCTACCTAATCCCCCCTCCCCCCATTAGACATTCAGTGTATTATTGTAGATTGACGCGCTGCTCTTTCATCCTCCATGCGGCCTCCATGTATGTGGTGATCTCTGTTTTCTGGCAGTGGTGATGTAGCCGTCTGTCCTTCCGATCAATGCTAATCTGTAAAAGGAAGCTCACGTCAGGCCCCTGGCCAAAAACCTAAAGACGTGATTGAAGTACATATGGGAATGGCTTTACATAGCAAAGTGTTTATGATTGTGTCCAGCCAGTTTTGTGATTCACCCACCTCTGCCACAGAGCATAGCGAGGAAGGTGACGCCACTAATCTGTACTGCAGCTTTCTATGTCACCTGCCTGCTCACAGAACAATGAAATGACACCATCCCTGTACTACCCAAACACCTCCCACTCCCGGGATCTGTATATTGACAACGCCTTGCAGAGCAACAAAGGCCAACTGGCTCCCTGTGATTATAGGGGGCGGGGCATTGTGAAAAAGATGGGCAGCAATTTACAATACATTTAACCCCTTCGTGACGGGAGACGTACAGTGTACGTCCCGTCACAAAGTGGCTATATGACTGGCCACGTGCCGAGTTATATTAGCCTCTGTAATGCTGGTAACTGCTGATTCTCAGCAGGTCCAGTCATTAATTAATGCCTCACTATTGAGACATTCATTAATGAAAGAATGAAGCCTTTACATTCAGATAAGGGTTCGCTAAATAGCGATCCCGTATCTGACAGCTGAAGATAGCAGAGAGGTAGCAGTGACTCACCTCTGCTATTCGTTTTGACAGCTGGAGAGCCTGGCCCATGTTAAATGATACATTTCTACCACTAGATACAAAATGTATCTCTTGAGTGAAATGTATCATTTCTGATCGTCTAGGAACGATCAAAGACCTTTAGTGAGATCTGATTCTGACACGCTGTCAGGATCAGTCTCTAAAGTTATTATTAGCTGTTCCTAAGCTTGGAGCAGCCTGATAATAACTAAACATTTTAAAAAGTTAATTTATTAAGCAGTCGTAGTGATTGCTTGATATAAACTGACAAAAACAAATTATTTTTTTACACATTTTTTTTTACAAAGTGTAAAAAAAAAAGTGTACAAAAAATTAGGAAAATAAAACGTTTATATATAAATATATTTGTATACTATAATTATTATTAAAAACATTCTAATAATAATAATAATCAAAACTTGCTGCTGTGGAAGAATCACACAGCAAAAATGTAAAAAGTGTGTCAGTCATTTAGGAACAGAAACTAAAAACTAGCTCAGTCATGAAGGGGTTAAAGCTGAACTCCATGTAAATACACATATGATGTACATGGGACATACACTGAGGGGCCAGATTATTATGACCACCCCATCAGTACTTGGTTGGGCCGCCTGGTGACTCCACGAGATGATGAAAGGTGATGCGAGGAATCTGACGCGGCACTGTTACCCTTCTGTTGTCTTGTACCAGTCTTGCCCCTCCCCCGTTCTGCCCTAACATTGACTAGTCGCTGACGGCCACAATTC